TCGCACGGAATCAAACGCAAGCTGCTGTCGCTTATCCCAGTGCCATTTATGTCGTCTTTTAATAATTCGTTCAGCGGATTTAATAATGAGGATGCGTTAGGAATAAAATTCCTGTAGTTTTTTTACATAATTATTTTTGTACATAATTAGTAATTTTATAATTACTCCGAGATTTTTTTTTTATTCTAAGACATTTGTGGGGATTGGGGCTTTTAGAATTGCATCTACTTTACTGGGACATGTTTTAAGACCATTTTTATCTATTTTAAAATCTAAATATGTGACACTGTCCTGGAAAAAAGAACACTTCTTTTTGAAGCCTTAACCCGTAATCGTAATCTACCTAGCAATAAACGAAGTCTGCAAATGTAGGGTTCTATTTGGGGCTGTTAAACAAATATCACCATACCAACATGACACTCCTTCAATACCTACTACTAGAGATTCTATTGTGCGCTGGAAAATAGCAGGGGAATTCGCGAGACCGTACACTAAGCGTGTATATTTGAAAAGGCCTTTCGGTGTATTTATAGTTGTGAGGTCTTGAGAGGCTTGAGACAAACAAATTTGATTATAGGCATTACTTAAATCTAGCTTACAATAATGTTCTCCGCCGCCTAACATCGCGAAAACCTCGTCTATGTGGGGTAATGGATATTTGTCAATTTTCAAAACTTTATTTAGGTTACAGGAACAATCTCCAACTATTTTCACTTTGCCATTCAAATTCAAATTTAACTGGTACTATGGGTGTAGCATAATCTGTGAAAACTGTACTGGTACTAATATACCTGCTTCGACAAGCCTATCTAATTCTTCTTCAACCTTGTCCTTTAGAGCAAACGGTATTTGGCATGGCTTAAAAAATTTAGGTGTTGTATTTTCTTTCAAGTGTAAATGCACTTCATATTTATTAAAACGCCCAATTCATCTCTCCAAATGTCAGGGAATTCATTCAAGATCTGATTGATGCACCTCTTGGTATTCCGCTCTAACTGATAAATTATTATTGTTACACATAGAAACCAAACTCATATTAAATTGCGTCATGAAATCCTGCCCTAATAATGGTGGACCACCTTCTGAAATTACATAAAACGACATAGGCTTCATAATACCATTGTAACTTACTTCACAATCGAAATAACCTACGGGCGTAACTTTATGCTTAGTATAAAGATAAAATACTGTTACCGAATCCTGGCAACCCCCGACCGAGAGCCAGCGCTAAAACTATAAAAACGATCCCTCGCTGCGCCTTTGCCTCTTTTTTGTGCGTGGCGTTCGTGTGTGCGGTTCTTGTTGAAACATGTTTGGTTCTTGTGTAATTTTAACAGTTTTCGTTAATAGTAAATTGAAATCATTTTGTTAAAAGTATTGTTGTTAATTCAGTGAAATATAATTAGGCCAGTTCTGTGTTATTTATTTCTTTTTGTTAACTACCTCACTTCTGGTCGATAATATCAGAAGTGGGATAAAACCACGTGCTTTTGAAAAGTGACGGGACGTCGATGTAGAAAATACAGGCGCGATCATTCTCATCGACGCTGTCATGACCGCTCGAATTCTCGATTCAGAAGTCTGTTGCATTAATTATCGTCGCTATCGTGCTGTGTGTAGGAAGAGCAAGACACCTACGCCGCAGGATGTCTCCTGGCATAGTTCCGTGGAACCGTTGTTTAGAACATAATTATACTCGTGAGATCGTGAGATTAATGACCACTTTACCGGTACCGTCTAATCGCAATACGCTGTCGCACTCTTGTACCGAACGCCACGCGCAGTTATTTTTGCCACCAGCAGCAACGGTTTCCGTTGAAGGGGGTGACGCATGTGCACCTGAGTACCCTGGAACAGCGTCATGCAAATCGGCGGGTGTGTGTGTAGCAGTGCTGGTCAGCAGATGGACGGCGTGACGAACAGGATTATTGGAGCATTGCAGGTGCTATCTAAACTTTGACAATGGAGGCGCCTTCTGTCTGATTTGTTCACAGACGCAGGGCGTTGTGGCCGACGTGTGAGGTCACTAGCGAGTCGGCGCCGTGCTCCAGCAGGAGAGCGCAGAGCCGTGCAGACTGCACGTGTTGCTCGCGTGCCGCTACCTGCGCGCGCTCATCTGCTTCAGACGTGCATACTGCGCGTACTGCTCGCGTGCCGCTGGCTGCGCGCACTGCTCGCGTGCCGCTGGCTGCGCGCACTGCTCGCGTGCCGCTGGCTGCGCGCGCTCATCTACTTCTGGCGCGCATACTGCGCGCATTGCTCGCGTGCCGCTGGCTGCGCGCACTGCTCGCGTAGCGCTGGCTGCGCGCGCTCATCTACTTCTGGCGCGCATACTGCGCGCATTGCTCGCGTTGCGCTGGCTGCGCGCACTGCTCGCGTAGCGCTGGCTGCGCGCGCTCATCTACTTCTGGCGCGCATACTGCGCGCATTGCTCGCGTGCCGCTGGCTGCGCGCGCTCATCTGCTTCTGGCGCGCATACTGCGCGCACTGCTCGCGTACCGCTGACTGCGCGCACTGCTCGCGTGCCGCTGGCTGCGCACGCTCGCCTGCTTCAGACGTGCATACTGCACGTGTTGCTCGCGTGCCGCTGCATGCGCGCGCTCACCTACTTCTGACGTGCATAATGCACGTGTTGCTCGCATGCCGCCGACTGCACGGTGCTGTACGACTGGCAGTGACGCAGAGAGCGATGTCGCTTAGTCTGCGGCCTGCTGCTGCGGACTACCCAACGGATTATCTATCAGGACGGTCGAGCGGGACGCCCGCCACACGTGGTGCAGCCTCGCATCGTGGGAGCAGACTGGAGCTGGGACGGCTGCCCTGCTTCCACATCATCCTTATGAGTGGACCCCGGTGACATGCAGCCTTTTCTTCGAAATTAATATGTGAAGGTCGAGGTGGGCACTTCGGTGCTTTACTTCCCATTTTTGAGGTTGAGGTGGGCACTTCGGCGCTTTACTTCCCATTTTTGAGGTTGAGGTGGGCACGACGGTGCTTTACTTCCCGTTAATTTTTTTGAGCAGTATGGTAGATGCGGATTCGGCCGGATCTTGCGTCCCTACTGTTTAGCTGTGTTGTGTCGGTAATGTTCAGTATCTGTATCGGTGAATATTGCCGACAACAGCACGCTACTGTTTTAGACGTTTCCTGTACGGGCTAACACAGTAAAGGAATCGTGCAGGTGTCTCAAATTGCGCAGTTTGGAACAGTTGTGCGATATCCATTCTTCTCACTTCAAATGTTTATCTTTGGCTCGTCCTCGCTGCAGATGTAAGAGTGCACGCTTGCGTCTAGTAGGGATTCTAAATTTTAGAAAGTTTTAGAGCATTAAGGTCTGGGTGTATTTTTTTTTGTTACGTTACAGAGGGTGACCTTGTTGATGCAAGCTCGGACGTAGCTGGAAGAGATGCTTCTGCTGAGAGATGAAGCGGTCGAGGACGCCTCGCCGTCAGGAACGGCCGTGTTACCGAATCCTGGCAACCCCCGACCGAGAGCCAGCGCTAAAACTATAAAAACAATCCCTCGCTGCGCCTTTGCCTCTTTTTTGTGCGTGGCGTTCGTGTGTGCGGTTCTTGTTGAAACATGTTTGGTTCTTGTGTAATTTTAACAGTTTTCGTTAATAGTAAATTGAAATCATTTTGTTAAAAGTATTGTTGTTAATTCAGTGAAATATAATTAGGCCAGTTCTGTGTTATTTATTTCTTTTTGTTAACTACCTCACTTCTGGTCGATAATGATACTATATCAGACTTATTTAATTTGTATAATGGGAAGTTATCCCTGTAAAATCTTTCTGAAATCACACTACGAGCAACTCCGCTATCTAATTCCATAGAATAAAACTAACTTATTATTTATAGAAATGTTCAACTTAATAGGATCGTAGCGAACATACCTTAAATTATACAAATCACATTTTTTATATATTGATATTATATTGATTTATATATTGATATAAGCTAACTAAGTAGGTAGTTGTGAACAAGTGGTCCGCGTATTTTAAACTATTATAAATAGTTAAAGGGAATAATGAGATATAATTTATAGTAAAATAGAATGTATTAGTACTAATTCCTGTGGACAAATGTTATCTCTCCAAAACAATAAGTGTGAGTGACTTTAAAAGGCTATCAAAACCGAGTGCAAAACAGTTACTAAAATATCAATTAACTTTCAAGATTTAAGTGATAAATACCATATTAAATACTGTATCAAAACCACTACAAACTAATAAAACAGTGCTACGTTCGTATAGTCACGAACTTTCATAATAATAACCTAAAATCTTAGAGGCAGGATTGTGATAGATAGTGCGCGCGCAGGCATTCAAATTTTGAAATAAACGTCCCAACGAACATCCAAAAACTCCAAACTCATGCAAAAACGTACTTAATAGACCCATAATTTTACCACACCGTTCACGTAGTCGGGTAGATCTACTTATTTTGTACCAGAATCGTAGTGAATAGTGTCACAGAATGCCCCTTCAAAAAACACCAAATACATCTGCAAACGAATATGTTACTCTTCGTTGTCAAAGGACCCTTACTAATGATTCGCATGATCTTTCCTTTGGATCGACAACTTCTGAAATAGAAAGGCATAGCCCACTAGACCTAGATCTGCAACTGGGCTCGTCTACTCGCTATCGATGTGACCTAGATGACCTCAAGAAGGAGATATTACAATTAAAAAACCAATTGAAGAATGCCTATAAATTGAAGGAAAAATTACAAACAACTAACAATGACTCTATAGAATTACATTCAAAAACTAACCAAGAAGAACAACAATTTATTCACATAAAACAAAAAAAGAAGAAATCGCGGCATATTAGAACGTCATCCCTTCTCTCTGCAAAAGGTAACTCCAGCTGTTTTGAGGCTTCGGCTACAGACGACGACACTATAATCGAACCCAATAAATCGTCGATTGACCAAGGAGATACAACGCTTTGCACATTTACGACAGAGGGCGCGACTACACCAAATTTCACTCGATTACTTCAGATGAACACAGATGGCGCTCTTCGAAACTCGGAGCCACAGGATCAAACTAGGAATCAAGTCAAAGAAAGAAATGCTCGTTCTATTACGACGAAAGCTGTACAAAGAAGAAAACTATGTATTGTCAGTACAAATAAAAGGAACAAAATCTTAAATATAGCCAAGAATACTTTTTAAAACTATGAAATATGTCACTCACTATGTTTCTCCGAATTGTAATACAGAGCAACTCATTAGCAACTTGGACAAGAAATTAATAGACTATACTATGGATGACTTTTGTGTTATATTAATTGGAGAAAATGACTTTTATAAAACTGATAATTATGTAAATATAATTGTAAAACTTAGAGAAACATTGCAGAAAGTTCAAAACACGAACATTATAATGAATGAATGAATGAATGATTTATTTTATTTCAGACAACAATAAGTCCATATGTGTACATAGTATCATTGAAATATACTTAACATTAACAAAACCAATCAAATAAAAAATATACATTTATTAAAAGTAGCTATCAGTTGAATACATTTCAAATATTCCATTCCACTGATACCTACTTCGAACCAACCGTTATTATTACTAATATTATTTAGTCCGCAAGTGAACCATGGTACAATGGTTCAAGTACCGACAGTCATAACGGTCTGTTAATGCCTTCAGGATGCTGTTAGGGCTGACCCGGACCCGGCCAATCAGGGATGTGCATCTTTTCCGCATGGTCGTAAAGAAACAGTCGACTCGTGCCTCGGCGAACATTCCCGACGCGCTACAGAACCGAGGCAGCCCCAACAACACCCTGAACGCATTGTTGTATTGGACGCGTAAGGCGCTGTACTGCTTTTGACTATAGAACACCCACAGGCTGCACGTATAGAAGGACGTACAAAACGCTCTAAATAGAGTGATTTTGACATCCCGCGAACACCGAGCGAACCTGCGGGCAATCATATTAGCTCTTACAGACAGCGCTCTCCGCTCCCGCTCAATGTCTGTATCATCCCTCAGGTCAGAGGTTACAAAGTGTCCTAGGTATTTAAACTTGTCTACTCTGCGCAGTGGCGTACCATTCAGTTTGACGGAGGGAATGTTATCCAGACACCTGCCTCTGGCCTGAAACACCATACAGCAGGGGTGGGCAAAAGCCGGCCCGCGGGCCGGATCCGGCCCTTTTGCTAATTTTATCCGGCCCGTTGAAAAATTCCGCACATAAATTTTTTTAAACTCTTTTATGAGATTTTGTTGACATCAGCATTAAAAAAGCATATGCGGTAAAAAAGCATATGCGGTATAGTCCTCCGGCCCGGGAGACATTTTGAAAATTTCATTTTGGCCCGCGCTTTAAAGTATTTGCCCACCCCTGCCATACACTCACTCTTCTTTGTATTATACACCAGACCGTGACTTAGAGCATACCTTTCACATATGCCAAGCAGCTTAGACAGCCCACAGGCCGACGCACTCAGCAGCACCATGTCATCAGCATAACTGATATTGTTGAGACATATTTCATCAATATGGCAGCCGACATGAGTACTGCTGAGCTCCTCGATTAGAGCATTCACATACAGGTTGAAGAGCTTGGGCGAGGTCAACCCCCCTTGCCTCACCCCGCACTCCATCCCGTATGGCCTCGAATAGACACCCGACCATCGTACCACGTTCAGCTGGTTGGCGTACCAATATTTGAATATCTGTACTAGTTCTTTCGGCATTTTAGTATTATTCAGTTTTTGCCATAAGATGTCATAACAAACCAGGTCGAATGCCTTTGATAAATCGAGGAAACAGGCAAAAATTGGAGTTTTTCGATCAGTATAGTACTTGANAGACACCTGCCTCTGGCCTGAAACACCATACACTCACTTTTCTTTGTATTATACACCAGACCGTGACTTAGAGCATACCTTTCACATATGCCAAGCAGCTTAGACAGCCCACAGGCCGACGCACTCAGCAGCACCATGTCATCAGCATAACTGATATTGTTGAGACATATTTCATCAATATGGCAGCCGACATGAGTACTGCTGAGCTCCTCGATTAGAGCATTCACATACAGGTTGAAGAGCTTGGGCGAGGTCAACCCCCCTTGCCTCACCCCGCACTCCATCCCGTATGGCCTCGAATAGACACCCGACCATCGTACCACGTTCAGCTGGGTGGCGTACCAATATTTGAATATCTGTACTAGTTCTTTCGGCATTTTAGTATTATTCAGTTTTTGCCATAAGATGTCATAACAAACCAGGTCGAATGCCTTTGATAAATCGAGGAAACAGGCAAAAATTGGAGTTTTTCGATCAATATAGTACTTGATAGTTTGCTTCAAACACAATACGGCTACTTCTGTAGACATTCCTGATTTAAAACCAAACTGGTTATCATGTATCTGAAGATATTTATCAAGTTGTATGTTAAGCAAACTGTGAAGCACTTTCGCTATGATAGTTGCTAACGAGATGGGTCTGTAATTGGTTTTATCACATATATCCCCGGTCCTATTCTTCACAATTGGCACTACCACAGTCTACAACATCTCCTCAGGCAAGTAGGAGTGTCCTATACATAAATTGTAGAACATAACCAAGACTCGGGGCAAGTGTACACCGGCATACTTTAGGTGTTCTATGCTCAGCTCGTGTTCTATGCTCAGCTCGTCATGACCCGGAGACTTACCCCGTGACATGGAGTTAATAACTTTTCCAACTTCGTTAGCCGTAAACCTAGCAGTAACTATTCGCCCCTGAGAATCACCCACACACCCTGACTGTGATGGTCCCAATGGCGAACTAACCACAAAGTGTTCCCTAAACATATTCGTGATGCCATCGCGATCACTTATGCCACCGACGCTCACGGGCAGGCCTGGTTTACCATTAAGTTTAGTGGTAGATTTCCAGAAGCTGTGAAAATCGTGCTTGGAGTGATGAGACGCGAGTATATCCATTCTTAACTGCTCGCTGTGGTTTTGACACCATTTCAGACGTGATTTAAAAATTTTCCTACTCTCTTGCATTTCTTTCCAAACACGNCACCTTCACTTGTGCGAGGGCGCAGTTGCCCTGCGATGCAATAGCGGCGGCCACTTCCATCTGAGTAGCGCACTCATCCAGGCCCGTCACCTTAATCTCTGCCATCTTGACGGGCCTCTCGATTCGCACGACTTCCGGGTCCGGCAGGACTTCGCGAAGCCGGGCCGCCAGTCTGTCCGCAGCCGCGCCGGAGTCGGCACCGGGACATTTAAGCAGCCGAGCCCCGTTAGCTGTGTGCTGGACTCGGATGACACCCTCTACGCCTATATCGTCTACATCAACGCTACAGCGCGCCCGGGCCATCACCTCCCCGTAAGTGAAGCCTTTTTCCTTCGCAGCCGGCAGCAGCTCTAAAACTACTGCCGCCGACCGTGGGGCGCGCGGTTTCCTTGACTTCCGCCCCTTCTTTTTTGTCCTAGCTGCCTCTCGACCCATAGTCTGGGGAGCGGCGGCCACAAGGACGGGCCGAGGGTCAAGCGAGGTTTGTGTTTTCCTTCCACCCCGCCTCACCACTGTGGTCCACGCCTCGTTCATGTTGGACGGGGCGGATGGTAGCGGACGGGGCTGGGGGGTCTGCGCCTGCTTGGCGGCGTTCAGGCCCTTCTTCTGCTTAGCGCGACTCCTTCCAGGCCCCGCTTTTGCTGGCTGGAGTGGGGCAGGAGCGGCGGTCGGCGGTCTTGCGGGCTGAGCATGCACTCGCCTGCTAGCAGACTTGACCGGTGCAGCCAAGTTAGCCAAAGCGCGCGTCGCGGGTGCTGCACCCACTTTGGTCACTGTGGCTTTTGAAGGCGCTGGTGCCGCCACTGTTCCACGTGACGATGACATAGGCGCGGGGTGCTCGTGCGCCAGCAATGGCCTCGCGCACTCAACTTTGGAGGTGCGAGCCTCCAGGATCGTGATTTGCCGCTTCAGCTCCTCGATCTCCTTATCCTTTTCTTGTAGAATGTCTTCTAGCGGGGGTGGCGGAATTGTCAAATTGCTTTGGCATCCAACAACCCCATCGAGGGTCGCACGCATATCAGTCAACTCCTCTCTCGCACGCACGCTCTCCATCCGTAGCTCCCCATTTTCTGAGTGCAACCGCTCCAGTTGCGACCGCAGGTTGGCTACCTCCTCCGTGCTTGTGCGCTGAATGAAAGCCTCCAGATATACTTCCAGGGTAGCGGCTACACATTTCAGGGCCCGGACGTACGTGCCCTTTAAAGAGCCTGACTTGGACGCCACTGAGGATACAATTTCCTTCAGCACATGAAACTTCCCTCCGGGGTCATCTGGATCTATCTCCATGAGGGAGCGGGTCAGCCGCTCAACTTCACCTTCTCGGGTCTGTTCCGCTGTCCGACAGCGGGGGGCATCGGTTCGCACCGAAGGGGTAGCAGCTGGTATGCTTTAAGTCAGCCTCAGCTCCTGACTACGTTCCATGGCCGAACACACCACAACGTTTACCGGCCCTTCCTCAACCGCCATGAATTTGGCGGGCGCGGGTTCAACCTCCGATGAGTCGGAAGGAGCGGTGGTCGTTGGACCGTCTTCCGCTTCCTCCGGGTCCTTGGTTCAGCCTGGTTCCGGCTGATAGATCGCCCAACGCTGTCTTGCAGGAACAGCGGCGACTCTCGACCGCTTGACGCGTATCCCCTTGCGGAGCTTCGCGTTGAGCGTAGTGAGAGCGCGCTGTCACAGCGCTCAGGTTGCACGAACGGGATCCTCTCCCTTTCGCGGTTCGTGCTACCGCCTCCTACGTCTTGGCAATTGTTGCCCCCCCCAGAATACGAGGGGCTGCGTGCCTCCGATTGCTCGAAGGCACGGAGGGATTCAGCTCCCGCTGAGCGGGAGGTACCCTCCTGGGGTAATTTCTCTTTACAATTGTCCATTATTCATAATTGTCTTTTCTTATTTAACCAGAAGTGAGGTCCCCTGGGATCAGGTGATGCCCTCGGGACTGGACTCCTTCCAGCCATTCATCCCATCGCCGGGCATCGGAGCTTAGGATTGGGGCATTTTTTATAGAGGTTTACGTCCTCGCGACCCCATGCTTTACGGCAGCGGCCACCGTCCCCCACACAGTGGGGATTACGAGTTGGCCGGAAGGCTACCGAGTGCACAGGGCAACCCAGCAGACAACCGCCCGACGCTCGATACGAGCAACCACGGAGCCACGCCGGCGAACCGGTGCCTCCCATATCTGGGGGGCGTTCCCCTGTAGCCGAAGCCGGGGACATGGCAACCAGCGGCAAGCAGTCGCAGAAATGCAACGCCAGCTCACTTTCACCACAATGGGGCATAGGGTGCCACCGCTCACGGCACGCCGGCGAACCGGTCCCATCGGAAGCTGCGGTCTCCAGAAGGAACACTCTTCACTTAGTGAAGAGTGTGGAGGGCGCAGTCCTTCCGCTCTTCCTAGTGCTAGTTTGGTCCGCGTCATCCGATCTCTTTCATTGCAAAGCCTAACTAAGCTATCCTAAACCTAAACCTAAACCTAATCCTACACCTAGGACTTCAAACTGCATCTAAACCTAATCCTAAACCTAGGACCTACACCCACAGAATCCTTGCAACGAAAAAGATCGGACGATACCTCTGGGAATGTCACCCAGAGGATCCCGTGATCCGCCACCTTCGGACGCGCCCGCGTGGAAGTCCAGCCTCCCTCGCAGACGAGGCCCACAGCACGCAATCATTGGGTGCTGTGGGCCTCGTCCAGATCCCGGGGTGTAAGACGATCCCTAGGCAAACTACCGGAACTAATATCAATCTCAACGAAACTCTATCGAAGGAAATGATACTTATTCTCATAGTAGGTACTTAAGTTAATCTTAAGATAACTTATGTTGCAGTGAACATATTGTCATAGAGCGACACAGTCGTGTTGCGAAAAGTCTCTTGACTAAAGAAATAATGGAAATCATGGGTTTCAATTCGATCGATAAGCAGTTGGTGTATCGAAACTGTTTGAACTTTTTTTTTTTTTTTTTATAACATCTAATAGGCAAACGAGCAAGACGGGTCACCTGATGGTAAGTGATTCACCGCCGCCCACGGTCACCAGCGTTTACGCCAGTGCGTTGCCTACCCTTCAGATAAGAATATGCTCTTTTCTTGAATAACCCAATGTCGCAGTTATTGGGGAAGACCGCTGATGGCAACGAATTCCAGAGATTTACTGTGCGTGGCAGAAAACTGTTTTTAAAACGCATTGTAGTGGAACGCCAACCATCCAGATGGTGCAGATGATAGTTCCGGCGAGACGATCGGTTGCGAAAATCAGCGGCTTCTATTAAATTGAACAACTCTTCGGAACACTCCCCATTGTAAATTCTGTGAAGTATGCATAGGGAAGATAGATCCCTACGCAGTGCCAAAGGATCTAGCCGATCGGCAAGTACAGGATCGTCGACAATCCGAGATGCCCTACGTTGGATTCGGTCAAAGGGAGATAGCTGATAACCCGGAGCCCCGGCCCAAAGGTGGCAACAATACTCCATGTGAGGCCGCACCTGCGCCTTATACAGCTTAAGGCGGTGAGCCGGCTTGAAGTACTGTTTGGCCCTGTTTAGTACTCCGAGTTTTTTGGAGGCCATTTTAGCCTTGCTCTCCAAATGACCGCCAAACTGGAAAACACTCGAAATGTCTACGCCCAGAATGCCCATGTTCGGCTTGGCACAAAGGTGAGTGTTTCCGAAGAGTGGCGATGCGACAAAGGGGGCTTTTTTAGCGGTGAACGCGCAAACTTGAGTCTTAGAAGGGTTAAACTGGACTAGATTTAGTCCCCCCCAATCGGAAATCTTCACAAGGGATGATTCGATTTCAGACACA